TCAACGGCCTCGCTAATTCCATCTGCTGCGGTGAGGAGGTCCGCCAGGTGCCAAGTACAGGTACGCTTCATTATCCCTTCGTATTACTTAGGTCTTCTAAGTTGTCCTCTGGCAGCACACACAATAGTTTGGGGTTGCTACAGGCCTCTGGAATGAAGAGAGAAATTCCCCCAGCTAAGGCTCATGCTCTATCATCTGAGAGAGAACCAAGTATCCCTGGAGTATGCTTCTGTAGTGGCATGATACTTAGTGGCCAGCTACAGCCCCTTTAGTAGCCACATATCAGTCACAGTTTGTTTCACACTGTAATCTGGCTCATATTTACCATAAAATATGTTTGTGTAAAAACATGTCAGACATGATTCAGATTCCTGTGGAAGGGGGAGGGATGTAATCCTGTAAGAGTAATTATTTATGGAACATTGTTTTCTCACACCAAATAAAAGATAATGGTTAAAGTACCTGTCTGAAGTGGCAGTGGGCAGTAAGGGATGCAGTGTTACACACCCAAACTTCTGCTGTTTGCTTTTTAACCTTGCTTTTTAATTTACCTGTAGCTAAGCAGTGGGAGGAAACTGAAGGTCTGCTTAATTTTCTTGATAACTCTTAATCAAAGCAAACATGTCTTGTTTGCTCCTCTGCCAGAGGAAGGAACACTTGTATTTGATATCTGTTGTAATTTTCACATTCTTACCTTATATTCCGTATGACTCCTGCTAGGTTTGTAAACACTGGAGTTTCCTAACTTGAAACATTTAAGTGTTCAACTCGAAACATTTTGGGTTTGATTGAGAGTCTCTTATCTTGCAGGTTTATCTGACAGCTGTTATCTTCATTGGTGCTTTTGCCTCATCAGCTGAGGAGATACTATTGCAGTGTTATCTCCATTTGGGAGATTAACTGAAAAAGTGAAACTAATTTGTTCAAGATAATGCAGGAAGCTTGAGACAGCGCAAGGAACAATATGCTGAGCATGACAGACCATTTGAATATCCTCCTACTCTTTAACATTTGGTCTATAAGCACTGCTAAGTGAGCTACATAATGCTCTACAAGCTAGCACTTCTCAAGATTATTGAATGAACTCATATCGCTTGCAGTTGACATTGAGACTCATGATCAGTCAGGTTCCACCCAAATGTCAACAAGCAACCATGAATCACAGTTGTTCACTGAGCAGTATACCGATTGCAGCATTATCAAAGCATCTGTGCTGAAATACAGAAGATCAACAGAACTATTCAAATACAAAACTACCTACCAAAAGTGCTAGAAAATTTCTGTCTGTATAGAGCTATTTTAAATTGTTTTTATGGTTGTCTATAGTTAGCTGACATTGCACATTGAAATTAAGTTCCTTTGGCTTCTAAAAGGAGCATTCTTGCTCTCCTCTACTTCACTCATTTTTTCCAGTCTCTCTGCCCCCATTACTGTCTCTTCCCGGATTATTATCCGCAGGCGTAGCTTTATGAAGAAGAATAAAGCAGGTGTTGCTTCCCACCTGCACTGGGCAATGCCTGATGAACGTTCCTTGTTCTGCAGCAAGACGGGGATGAGCACTGCAGTATTATGGTTACCTGTGCTGCACTAGTGCCCACCGGCACTGGTGCTACTGGGCAGACGCAAAGAGACTGTGCCTGTCCAAGGGTGCCTGTGCCTGTCTGGTGCCAGCGAAGTGAACCCAGCAGGAGGTGCAAGTGGTCACTGCAACAGATTTGCAGTGAGCTCCACATCGAGTTCTGATGTCTTTCCTTTTCATTGCTTCTACTAGCAGCATGGGAGCATGTGGGTCTATGGGGAAAGAAATGTAATTGTCTGGCAAAAGCTCAGATTTTGCAGGTGTCTCTTATAGTTACTCAGGGCTCATTAGATAGCTTAGCACCCATAAAAGTTGTGAAACATGTTCAAGGCAAAGAATTGCAAGAAAGGAAAAAGCAATCAACCAGCTAAAGACCTGCTCCTTCTGCTTTGTGTTTAATGTTCTTACTTTTCCTCAAATACAGAGACTGTAGTCAGGACACTGATGGACTCTACCTGCAGATCAAAATGGTAATGGAAATAACATCCTCGAATTCCACAGGTCCCTGACTGTATCAAGAAAGGATGTGCGTTACTTTTGGCTGTTACATGCCAAGTAACTGTAGAACAAGGACAAGATCTAAGACTGCCGTTCTTTTTGTACATCTGAAAAGGCACACCATCCAAATAAGTTGCACTATCCTTTATTAATTCACCTCCAGTAGTACTCAGTTATTTCTTACTGTGAGCCTTGGTCTTAGAAGTATGATATGACCATACTGCTTTTCATCTTCAAAGAAAAATGCAAGGAGTCATGTAGCAAAACCCTTAAAGAAAATAAGGGCTAAGTATATTGCCTGAACATAGATAGTAAGTCAGTGATAAAGCAAGATGTTTGCCGTTGTAGATAATGTGGTCATGAAAATAGATAAGCTCTGTAGAAAAGATCTTCCATGATTCGATAGGAAAAAAACTTCCTTAAGACTGCCCATCTATTTATTACATTCTCCTCAACTTGTATTAAAAAATCCATTTAGCTACTTCATGGGTGACACTGAAATTTACACCAAGAACTTCTGCCTTAAAAGTCCTGACATTCTATTGTTCATATATTGTTTAATTTTCTGTTGCGTCTTGTTTTATTACACCAGATGACTGGCTGAGGTGTCAAAACTCTGAGTTTAATTAATTAAAAAGCAGTGTAAACCGGAGGAAAAACATGTATAGGGACTGTATTTTACAGTGCAGGGTTAGCATATAATTCTGATGCCTTCTCTGTTGGAGTTGGCATACAGTGACACCAAACACCTTCTAGTGTTTTCTTTGGGTAACTCACTTTTTAGCCAGTCCCGAGAGCAGCAATGGTCATGACACAGAGGTTCATACAGCCCTTCTTTGTGACAGGAAAATCATCCTCCTATCTCCTACTGTGAAGAGGTTGGTGTGAGGTCGCAGTGCTGGTTGATGTGTCTTAGAAGTGGGGATGTGGGAACAGAGAGCAGATTGTCTTGATTGTTGGCATGTAAAAGGGACCAAAGAAGTGGAAAAACAGGCTTTTAGGCTTTCTTCCAACATCAAGTAGTAAGACCAAAAAATGTGCTATTTCTTTTGAGTTCATCATATTCCACCATCTCAAGAAAACATTTGCAAAGTACTGTAATCAAACAATAATGGGTGCAGCTACACTAGTCTTTTAGTTTTGATCAGGAGTGTATTTTTTAAGCAAGTATCATCATCATTCCCACTTACCATGCTTTAGTTCACATCACAGAGCAGTTTTGGAGTGTCTAAATTTAATTCCTTTGGTTTGAAACTAAACCAGAATATGTTCTTTAGATCCCTGCCTAATGCAGTCCAGTTGTCACCACTGACATCCAGTCCTTGGGATCAAATCAGAGCCAGTCTGAAGTAAAACCCTTCGAGACGTGTACAGCATAGCTGGCAGGTTCCTAGCACCAAATGTTTCAAGGTACAGATCTGTTTCAGTTGGTTTGAAGCGCTTGTTGCTGTGGATGTAGCCAATCTAGCCTAGAGAGCCTCCAAAAGGAGAACTACCGTCATCTCCCAGCAGCTGAAGATGACAGCATGCAGAATTCAAGGGCTGCTGAACTTGCAGAAGAAATCTTGACAAAAGAGCTTTTCAATCTTCCAGACATCACTGATTTGAGAACAATTGACACCATCGTTATTGGTGGGTTGAGAATGCCAATACTTATTGTTACTTTTGTTGAAAAAAATAGCATTATAAGAACATTATAAGAACAACAATATCCACAACTGCTACTTCTCAATGGATCGGCAATGAAATAAGCAGCTAGAAATTGCTCAGGTGTCCTCATTACTTAGGATCAACCTGTTCTTTCTTATCAGCTCTGACACTTGAAGTAGTATGAGAAATGTTATTAATTTTTATATAATCATTTGGGACTCTGTATTTACAATACAAAATCTAAATGTCCTTTTTAGTTTTTATGACATTCTAACCAGGTAGTTGGTCTGGGAAAGTGAAATGTTAGCCAAGTCTGATCATACAATTACCACGAGTGCCTTCAGTTTAAGTGTAAGAAGAAACTGGCAATTTCAGTGGTCTCTGGCAGCTGGTAAGTAAAAGAGATGACTGAAGTTGGAAGAAACTAAAACTCCAAAGAGTAACAGACAATGGTGATAGTACAATGGTACTGACATTTAAAAAATGTTTTTGTATGGAATTTTTAAATAGTCCAGAAGAAGACCATTATATGATTTTCTGACAAATACATAATTTCACATTCATCAACAATAGAAATGGCATTGCTTTTTCTAAAAGCAAGATACTGAAATTATGTTGCTGACAGATTTTTTTTAGGCACACTCATTTCCCATTTTCACTTTCTGTCAAAAAAACCCATATTTATTAATATATTAATGTCTTAGCTGCCAAGAGTCTTGCTAGCTTTCAGTTGTTCAAAAGGTTTTAGTGCCAGCTCTGTTCACTCAGTTACAGGATGGTTGAGGTGGGAAGGCACCTCAGAGATCCCCTAGTCCAATCCCCCTGCTTGCGGCAGGGTTACCTGCGGCAGGTTGCTCAGGGCTCTATCTGGTTGGGTTTTGACTGTGTCCAAGGATGGAGACTCCACAACTTCTCTGGGCAATTTGTTCTAGTGCTTAAAAACTCTTAGAATAAAAAAAGTTTTCTTACGTTTAAATGGAATTTCCTGTATTTCAGTGTGTCTGTTTCCTCTATATTTCCATTTTCTTGTGTCCATTTCACCCTGTATGTCAATTTGTGTCCAATACTTTTTCTCACAGCAATGCTTAAAAATAGTCAAAGTATATGTTAGTTATCGTAATATAGTAATGATGGACTTTGCCTACTGGACAAGAAAAAGGCAGGTAAGTTAATCGCTGGTGAAAGGACAAAGGTTTTACTTTATGATATTTACTTCCTTAAATACCAAGTTGGTCTGAAATTCTGTCCATGCAACTGCTGACTGGATAAGAACATGGACTGGTTTTCTCGGCCTGTGCTCCTAACTTGGCTTCTTCTTCAGGTGGTCTGGAGTCAGGTAAGAAAACAAAGAATGAATGTTGTTTATATGATCGAGTAACCAATGCAGCTTAAGATGAGTTTGAGAGGAAAAGACTTAAATAAGTTGCTTTTGCAAAATAAGAATTCTATTGTCATCTGCATGGAAGACAGAGAAAGATTTCTGTTTCCTCGGGGTCTTAGTGCTGCTATTTTTAATAGGTCTGGTTATACATGGGAAGACCTTATCTTACATTCCCCATCTAAGCAAAATATCCACTAGTATTCGAAGTAATGTTACCAGAACAGCAAGTCTGGTGTTAGAATCAAGATAAGTATTAAAATTTATTTTGCTACTCCATATTTGAATGGAAATATGATTTTTTTTGCTGTAACACAATATATTTGATATTGAAATTGATGCCTTTTTAGCCACTGGGTACACTGGTAAATGACTGTTTTCTGTTCCTCCAATCCAGCTGAACAATTTAGTGCCAAAAAAGTAACAGTTCAGATTTTGTATTTCCTGTCTTTTGTAGTGAAATGTGGCATTTTGCTCATCTTGTGATAATTTAATGCAGAGGCCAGGAATTTTGGTGATACACAAGATAATTAGTTTGGAGAACAAAAACCAATAGGTTGTTGAAAGTTCATTTCGGCTGTTCATAGCTTCAGGGTAATCTACAGAGCAAGGTATTACTTATTGTGACATTACTTAAGTGGAATAACATTATCTATTTTACATTATGCAACTTAACTGTCTGAATCTAGCTCTAATACCTCACTGTGGCAGTCGTATCCTCTTCCTCTCCACCAACACATGCTCATATATCTCCCTAAGTCAAGACCTCAGCCTCATGTCCCCAAGTTTCCCATAGACCTCCTGTATCCCCCGCTACCACAGCATCACAATTCCCTTGTATTTCTGCTGCCCATCATGACTACCTGTTCCTCTGTTCCCAACCTTTTAGAAACTCAAGTCTCAGCCTTGTTTAGATTCCTCTACAGGGTTTGGTAAAGCATGTAGTAGGTGATGCAGACTGCTACTGACATCTACAAGCTTTTACACATTGAACTGACTCGTTAACAGCCAGCTTCTGTGTGAGAGAGGGGCTTCTGATCACCAGGGCTAATTCTTTCATTTCCATGTGCCTTATGGCCAGAAACAGCTTCTTCTGTATTTCTGGATGCCAATACTCAAAGTTATATAGTCTGGAGAAAACACTGATAAATTAGGGCGTCTCATCTAAACTGGTTGACTATACTGCATCTGAAGTTCATGGTGAGACAGGGAAATTTTCATTGGCTGATTTATCACATCCTTGAATAGATGTCCAAGCTAGGTGAGGTGGATCATCTTCTGGAGATGCCATCACAGTGCCATACCTATTTTAGTGGCAGATGAGTTATGTATGCAATTACTCATTTGTTTCTCCACTGATTACTGCGTGAGTCTACTTGCCTAGTTTTTATGTGACTAAAAAAGGTGAGAAGTTTCCCACCCATTCAATATGCACTTGAACTATTTGCCAGTTAAATGTGTTCAAAAGCCATGGTTTGACCAACCTTTAATGTAACTTAATTCACACAAACCATGTTGTTTGCCACAGTTAGGGACTAATATTATAAACATTCAGAAATTTTTTTGTGTGTAGATTTAAAAGTAGCATTGGTTAGACTAAATTAGATTCCTCTTTGGTACACCACAGGTAGTATAACCTTCCTCTGCACATGACTGTGAACTGTGAATCTGTTGTTTATTTTCAAAAATTTCAGAGACTAGAAATGCATCATACAGGTCTTAGTTGTCAGGCTGGTATTGCGGTGGAAGCCATTGCTACTGAGACAAATAATATTTGTACACAAAGATACTCCTTTTGAAACTGAGTATTTTACTGTTGACATTCACAGGACTAAAGACCTAGTTCTGTTGAGAAGGAAGTGGAAAAGAGTGATGAAAGGGATTCCTTCAGCATAAAACATTCAGTGACAATTTTCAGACACTAAGGACCAGCCTGGATTTCAGTCAATTGCTGAATTTCATATTCTTCAGTCATGGATTCACATTTTGGTTTATGAACCAAAAGTACTGGTGGACCTAGCTACATTGATTTCAGTTTGCTAGATTTTGCTGCTGATAGAGGAGCTTTTCCATGAGCTAGCCAGTTTTCATCTTTAGCACAGTTATGCTTTCTGATTAGTTGATATGGGTATATTGTAGTTTATAATTATTGAAACTGTAGAAACATTTTACTCTCCATTAACGGTTACAAGAGGATTCAACATATACAGGTATGATTCTTCTCCTCCATCAGCAATCTTTAACAGAAAAGACAATAATGTAATTTTAATTTTTGAATATTGCAAGCTTTACTTGTTGTTTTTTTCTTCCACGTTAGGTAGAAATCTGTGAGAGTGGGAGTTTAAAAGCAAATGAAGTCTTCAAAATGTGTGTTACGCACTTTGCCCTTGTACTTTCAGCTTGTTTTACAGGCTGCACTTTCATTTCAAAACTTGAATACGTGGACTGGATACTGTCTTATGCATATCCAGTGATAATGAAATGTAATGAGAGGATATATGTTCAATAAAACGTCAGAATGTAAGATGAGTCTATTGACATTGCAGATTTATGGATGATTTGTTTGAAAAATATATTTTGGTTTGTTAAACTGTATCTGTATACAGTTACATGCTTATTCCTTTTTTCTGAAGTCCCCATCCTTATTTCTCATGCATCAATGTAAACCTGAATAATACCAGTTAACTCAGTGAAATGTGAGATCAAAATCAATCCTTCAGCATTTGCATCTGCCCAAGTCTGGTAACAGTTTTTCTATGGACTCAGTCACATTTCCACAATGACACTGGGTTTTTAAGAGTCGGGTATCTTAAAATCTACCAAATTTTGAAACAACCTAAAACTGTGAAGTACTGAAACAAGGCTGTTTCAAGAGAAATTGGGTCAGGAAACAGATTCTACTCAATGTTTTTTGTAACCAACACTTCAATGTCAAAAGCCTGCCTTTAGACTGGGCAAGGACATATGTGTGTGGTAGTTTTCATTAAGGAAATTAAGAAGCAGCAGCAGAAGTTGATTATAAACTTTGCCTGGTTATACAACATTTAGATATTAAGCATTTGATTATGCCAGGTCATACCAATTAGGAATTATCTCTCTTCAACCTATAAATTACAGCCTCTACGTGGTTTTCCCCACTTAGGCAATCAGAATAAATGATGAAAATCTGACAAAAACTGTGGAGCAACAGTTTGAATTAATTTTAGTTCAGGTGAATCAAAATGTTAAAATGAGATTTCAGGCTTTTGCATTTACAATATTTTTTTCTGCCATTTGCTGAAGTTTTCACAAGACAGTCATTTCAGATTGAAGATGAATCTTTCATTAAAAAGCTAAAATAGGACATTCTGACAATTTCAAAACTTCCTTTCTGAACCTTTTCCAAAGAAAGAAATTTCATTGGAGTTATTTTTTTTCTGCATTTGGTTAAAGTTTTTATATGAATCCCATCAGTTTTAGGGCCCACAGTTATGTTTGCCCTCAAAATTGTTCCCATCATTATGTGCTGAAAGTCAGGTCTAGAAGAGCATGTGCATTTGAATCTCTCTTGAATATTCAGGCCATACTATTTTCTTATCCATCAGGCAGGTGGTAGAAATTACCAAAATTAATATTCTTGTAGACTGCATGGACTTGATTTTTGCCATTTTTCAACATTCTGATTTTGTACTGTTCATTGCTTCTAATAGAGGTTGCAGATGCTTATCATACTGGAAAAATAAGTCATACATGCAAAACTGCATGTACAAGAGAGAACAAATTATTAATATGGAGAAAGAAAAGCAGTTGGGAGGGGAACTATAGTAAAAATAAAAGTAAAAATCTCACCCTGCTTTGCAGAATTGCTGTTATATCTCACCATTTCCTATATCTGTAAACTATATTGTCAGAGCTTAGAATTTAAGGGTGTTTTTTACCTTCAGTTGGTGAACTCCTTGTCAAACATACAAATACAAGGCTCCTGATGAGAAACAGAAAAACTCACTCAGCATCAATTTGTTAGAAAGGCTGTTCATGATTTTACCTACTGCATGAGAAATAGTTGCATAGTGTTATGTCAAGTATGTTCAAACCAGTCCAAAATGAAGTGTCTAGTCCAATAAAAGAACATAAATTATATTCTATGGGCATGTTATGGCAAGGAAATGTGTGCTATGTATATTTTTTCGGTCTTGCTCCAACATGGAACTTGGATTTTGCACATTGCAGAAACAGCCTGTTAGTTGGTATTGCTGAGGTAAACCAAGCCCAGCTAAGGCACTGAACTGGAGCTGAGGTGACCTAGACTCTATGTCTTGTCCTTCAAAGACTTGAGGCATGATGCTGGACCACTCATTCCCCCCCATCTTCAGCTTTACAAGGGAAGGTTAAGCATAGCTCCCATAGCACCTGACTTGTAGCAATACTTGATTTCATAGAAATAATTGGCTCTTCTCATTTGTGAAAGGCCATTCAGCACTGCCTGAGTGGCGAGAGAAAAACGGTTGTGAAAACTTTACAGAAGCAGTACTGGGTGACTTATTTGTTGGGCAACCTGAAGTAGGGAGGACACAAAGCTAACACATAAGCAAATAAACATTTCCAGTCAAATGAGAAAGCAGTGGGTCCAGTCAATCCAATACAAAGCCACGCACTAAGTGCTGTCAGTTGAGCTTAAATCGCGTCTCTAATACTGTTGAGAGAGTAACGCGAGCTGCATTTCATTATGTGCCTTTCTAATAATATCTTTTTTTCTTCCCCCTCCTCAGCCTGCTCTGGAGACAACTGGTGAGTTCTGTTTAGAGATCTATTTGTATGCATGGGAGGCAGTCAACAAAAACAGCTGCTCATAAACATCACTAGGACAGACACAGATTTATAATTACTGTTATTGTTATTGCATTAATTTTCACACTTCATAAAGATAACAGCAAGAGCTAATGTCCTACCTCACTTGTCTTTTTATTTTTCAGAAATAGATGTAGATGGAGGAATTGATCAAGACATCTTTGACATCAATGAAGGTTTTTTAAAATTCAGTTTCTCTTTTTTTTTTTTTTTGTGATTTTCATTATGGTAGCCACAGATCAATACAATAACTGAATGTTAATCTCTTCTTCCCTTTAGCTTTAGGACTAGACCTTTTTGAGGGAGACATCAAACTTGACGGGGTGAGTTCAAACATAAAATATAAAACCAGAAATATGTCATTGACTTATGTAATGTAAAGTGTCGCTGGCATGGAAATGATTGATGTGTCCTGTTCCTACTAACAATAAATGCTGTTTATGTAACAATAAACTGAAGAAGTTTGGGGATGGATTTCTGCAATATGTCATAGACAATGAAGGAGTTGGGAACATTTGCAGAAACATTATCCAGAATAAGGTCGGTTTAGCCATTAGATCAATATTATTAGCTTCTTATTACCTTTACTGTGTTTTTTATATTTGAACTTTTAAGAGATTCAGCAGCACTAATCATCATCCGGACAGGTTTATATAAAAGATTCATCATTTATCTGCACAATATTCATTATAAGCCAATTAAATTTAGAGACCAGTACTGCAAAACCTTCATCATATAAGTAGATTCACTAAAACCAATGGAAAATTAGGTCTGTAATACCACATTTTAAAGCATCTCTCCAGTATCCCTATCCGATCCATCAAAAAAAAATATTTACACAGCAAGTTACATCCTAAAGAGACCTAGAAGAAACCCCAAAAGTGTTTTATACTCCTGAAAGTCAATGGTGCTTTACTGTCCCTTTTGGTGACCTGTTTTGGCCTGAGCATATCAGTAGAAGCAAGGACAGCACTTGCTAAGGGCACAGGAGCAAACCCTCGCATTATGAAAAATTACAGAATTATTAATCTCTGTACAGTTATCAGGACTTCTTTAGATCTTAATGCTTCCCACAGGAGCTGAAGCTCTCCTCACACATCCATCAAAATCTCAGGTAATTTGTATGGAGAAAATGCTGCAGAAGTTGGAGACACTGGTAGAAGGGAGTGAAGGGATTTCAAACCCAAACCTTAGACTTCTGAGTGATCTTCCAAAGTTTTTGAGGCCTTTGATTTCCTATATGTCTTATATGGACTTGTAGGAGATGTGCTTTGCTTTAGCACTATTGTAGTCCCTGATCCTAAATCACTTTTTACTGAGGACTGCATACTTATTTTCTTTCTCAGATGCAGGAACGGAACTCCATCATTGGTGATAACTATCGGTGGCCCCAAGTTATTCCCTACGTTCTTGAAGATAGCCTGGGTACAGTATATGCCCTTGAGAATGTCTGTATGTCACGTTGATTGAAATGTTAAATACAGATTGGTAAAGATACTGTGGCATCCTTTCCTCTTTTGTAAGTCTTGAGCAGGCCATTTCCCACAGCAGGATTGGGCCTGGGTATGCACAAGCAGGGTATATCAGCTTGGTGTTGGTGCTGAGTCTCAGCAGACTGATTTGGTTTTAAAAGCATATGTCTGAGACATGAAACTAAGCAGAAGAAAAAAAGGATCTTCAGATCCTTTTAAAGCAGAAAAGCTTACCTGGCCATTTACATCATCTACAGCACCGATGGCAAATTGGCATTCTGGCAGGCAATGCAGTTTGCAATCGCACATCGCTGAGTCCCCTGTTGTGGGGCCAGGGACACACCATAGCTTGTCTCCATCCCTTTGAATCCACATGGCTGTGGCTCTGCATGGCAGAGGCAAGTGGTGAGATGGAGATTGAGTTCTTACTGTATACCACATGGGGAGATTGTGCCCTCACTACACAACATGGGGTTAGCTTTCTGGTACATGACACGAAAAAAAAAATCACCCACCCCCAGTTTAGATTTAGATCTAAACTGGGTTGAAAACACATAAATTACTTAGAGGAGATAGATAGATAACCCAGATATAATGTTAGCAGTTCAAGTGCTAGAGGAATTCTGTCAGAGATCTGTAGCCTGCAGTCTGCACTAGGTGAAATCTGATATCTTCCTTCCCTGTTCATTTAATACTTGCTCACATAAATCTCGGCAAAGTAAATGAATGAATTTACAAAATGAAGAACCACACACTATCATGCATTATATACTTATCATGTCATATTTTGTACAGAAGTACCAAAGAAAAATTACGTGGAAACAGAACAAGAGGAAGATACAATGTCACAATAGCCTAATTTATGGGTTTTAGGTCCTTACCCAGGTCTTAATCTAGCAAAAATCCTGCTTATTTTAATCAAAGATTGTTGGAGCAAGACCCGCCTTTAGGACTTGTTCCATACGGATAATAGTACAAACCTATTGGCTCACTATTGACAAGAACACATTGTTTGCTTTGCAGAAATGAATGCTAAGGGACTCATCCTCAAGGCATTTGAACAGTATCGACTGAAAACCTGTATTGACTTCAAACCTTGGGAAGGGGAGAAGAATTACATATCTGTCTTCAAAGGAAGTGGGTAAGAGGAGTAATGTAAAATAACTCTCCTCCTGTTTGGCTACAGGCTATTTTCATGGCCAGTATTCACTCTAAAACTCATATACCTGATTATAATTTTGTATTTTTGTTGTGTCTGTTTTTCCAGTCTTTTTTTAACTGGAAATTGTGATAGTTTCCGAAACAGGTATTACCTTGGTAGTAAGGAACAATTTCTTGCTGATACTTCTTTTTAAATACAAGAGGTAATCAAGTCCTTTCAGAGGTAATTTTCTGGGCATGGTAAAAGATATTAGAAACAAGCCAATTACTTTCTTGACCGATCTTTGAGTATATGGAGTGTCACTTTCAAATGGTCATTCTTAGTATACCTTAGTTTTCAGAAAAAAAAAATCCCAGTGGAAATATGGTAATTCTAACTGTGGGACAATGAATTTGTTTGACTAGAACAAACGGAATTGCATTTCAACAATGTCACACCAGCATTCAGATATAACAGCAATATTTTTAAATGCTGCACAGCACTGAGATATTGTAGAGACATTTCACTTTATTTACCTCTTTTGATGAATAGTTATGCTATTCCACCTTAGCTTTTGCAAAATAAGACTCCAGTAAAGAAGTCAAAATTGCCCCAGCTGCTTCCCTAAGACAGTCTCTGTCAAAACAGTGCAACAAGAACAAATATATTCTCCACTCTATGCTGAACCATTTCTCTGTTAGAAAAGGAGATCAGGGAAAGCTTGATAGCCTGGTGAGGAAATTTACTTTCAGAAAATCATTTCCCAATATGAGAATGCATTCATAAATGGGAAAGATTTTCTGATAATAGAAATGTTTCCCTTTCCCTTTGGCTTGTTCTGAGATATTTGTAGCAGATAATTGTTTCAAAATTTCTTCGGTCTCTGGCTCTTTGTATTTTCTATTCTTCATGCTGTGCACATGACATTGAAACTCAACCCTAAAAGATGTATAAGTGGAGACTTAGGGAGCAAGGCATATTCTTGTGCTAATGACTCTTCGGCTTTTTGAGCCAAATGCAAAACTCATGTAGCTAAATTTTTTAGTCCTTAATCACATAAAGTATGCATTGAATTTGCTAATAAATGTACCTGAAAAAACCCACAATATTTAGCCTATGGCAAGTAAGAGGCCTCTGCACAATGTTTCATTTATATGTCTATTAAAAATAGATGAGTCATGGTGATGAAGAAGGCAAGTCACTCTAGTTGGATAACGTATCTTGCCCTCACTGCCTGGTGTGTTTCTTGCCCTGAAATGTTTCTGTCATCTCAGCTGACACATTTGTAAAACAATTAACGCTCAGCAGCACTTTTTAGAAGATTGGAGCTAAATGGTGCAGTCTGCTGAAAATGGCTGTCCAGTTTCAGTGAGCTAGCTTGGGGCTGTATAAAGAAATTATTAGGACTGACCCTGCATTAACTGCCTTTCATTTCACTCCATTCCTCTCTTCCAATATAATGGGACAAAGTGAAACGTGGATAAACCAACCCATTTCCGCTCTGCTGTTCCTAGTTATCTTTTTTTAATCAGCTAGGACTCCTCTAATGGCGGACTAAACCCCTCAGTCCAGAGGGTACAGTGCAGACAGGAGCACAAAGTTCCTGGCAACACCAGCCGGATTCATAAAGTTTTATTGCACCAAGAAAAAGCTGAGAAATCATCTTTGCCTTTCTGATCTTGGCTTGCATCTATAAAACAGACAGAGGAAGGTGGGGGAACTTTGTGTCAAAAGGATTTGTAGTAGGCCATAAAGTCCTCGTCTGGATGATCCTTTTGAATTCAAATGAAGTCAGCCACAAAAGAAGCCAGCTGCCATTTTGTTGTGTTGACTGCCCTGTGTAAAAATATGTTTGTAGTCTCTGATATATACACACAGTGACATCAAACCCTGTGCAAAGAGCCCTCTCCCTGTCCACATTCTTTATCTACCATTCCCCAAGCCTTGGCTACTGCCTGTATTATGTTAACAGGTATACATTTGTAATGCTGAGTAGAGGTACATGTAAGGTTTTCTAGTGCACAGCCTTTCACCTCACCCCCTATTCAGGTCTATGGATCCGCAGCAGAGGTTAGACTGTGGATCTCTTTAAAGACCTTTTCATGACTCCAGCCTGTGTGCTAAGCAAAATACGTGAGGGATGCTTGTGAATTACAGAAATGCAGGAACATCAGATGTGGCAGGTGCCTGCAAAGCTCACAGAACAGTCCGGGAACCTGGAATGGATGTCCTATTTCTCCCTGCTTTTCTCAGGAAGGGCAGGTCTTATTCAGCA